AATAAATGTTGTTGGCATTTATTGTTATTGGCAGCTGCTACGCCACCAGAAGACAATCCTACAGGCTTTACAACCAGAGTATTGCCCAGATCCAGGCAGGGGAAACACAACACCAGACTAACTGCAGCCTCTTTTTGCCAGGTCTTTTGTGCTCTTTCTGAAGAGACATCCTTTTCCTAGAGAGCTTCGGTGGGCAGGAAGATCCCCAGAAACTGTCAAAGTGTTTTTGGTTCTCAACTTGTGATTCACAGGGAAGCTATACTGTTTAAGACATCTCCTTTGTTCATGTGTTCATTCTTTTATTTTTCACTCAGTGGGCCTTTATTGAAGAGCCAGCTATGTACCAGGCACTATGCTTGTCACTGAGAATGGAGAGAAATACATCATAAAACAGCATTGTAGAGGGAACTCTGGGGCAGTCACCTCAGGTGCAAAGCTCTAGGGGGCTAAGACTGTTTATTTGGAGGACAAGGGGCAGACTACCAGCTATGGTGGGAGACGCCTGAGCTTGGCAGCAGAGGGATCAAGGTTTCACTCAGGGTGCGGCTTACTTTTCATGTGAACTTGAACAAGTTCCTCATACCTCTAAACTCCCATTTCTTCATCTGTTAAATGGGAACTGTATACTTATCATGAAGAGTTATTTTACAGATTCAATGGCGTCAATTAAATGACATGCCTGGCCTTTTGTGATTTCTTCTCATGAAATTGGTTGACCATCTGCTCCTCCAACTTCTCCACTCCAAGTTGCATTTTTCCCTTTTGTGGTTTCTTTTCCCTTTAAACCTGACTTTAATTTGCTGTAAAACTTCTTGCAAACATATAATAACAATAAAATACATGGAGTACACACAGTGTACTTAACCCCCAACCAGGGAGGCATTCTCCCACTTCTCTTCCCACACAGCCATCATTGTCTCAAGCACAAACTACCAGTCTTAAAGCCCGGTCATCCTTAATTGTCCATAACCAGGAATTTCAAGCCATCTCTAACTAGTACATCAAAAGGAGCCCATTTGGTGCAGGTGGACTATTTCCACACTTGTTCTTTATCCCTCAGTAACCGGTCAGACTATTCAGAGGGAAAGATGTTCTTGAAGGTTGTTGACTCTGAAGGAATTCTGAGTGTGTCATCTTGGACTCTTGATGCTTCAGGACGAATATCCTTTGTCCTCTCATGGAGAGTGATGGCCTAGCTTCTTTGTGTCTATTTGAACCCTGCTCTAACCATTGAGAAAGTTGGGGGTTTTTTTCCCTTAATTTATTTACTTCATTGTTTATTCATTCACTCTCTCCCTAGACATTTATTGACTGCCAACTTTGTGCTAGGCCTGTGCTAGATCTTGGGGACATATCAACGAGAAAAAAAGACAGACTAGACCCCAAGCCTCATGAAGCTTGTATTTCATCAGAGTAGACAAACCAAAAAAACACATTAAAGGGGTATGAAATGAAGACAAATTAAGCAGAGTTTTATAAGCTTGAGCTATGGGTTTTACCTAAAAATGCAATTCATTAACTATTCAGCAAACACTGATTGAGTGCCTAATGTGTCCCAGGCCCTGTTCTAGGCTCTGGACACACAGTAGTAACATTAAAACTCTTGAAAGTTACATTCTAGTCAGGGAGACAGGGAGTAAACAAAAACAAATAAGTAAAATAGATAGCATTTTTTGATAGCGCCAAGGAGAATATTTTAACAAACTAAGAAAAGAAGTTAAGAAATGTAGAGTTGCAATTTTAGATAACGGTATCCAGACTAGGTCTCAGTGAAAAAAAAAATTACTTTTAAATAAAGGTTTGAAATGTCCATGTGCTGCCTCGGGGCAGAGCCCTGGGCCATTCTAATATTTAGAGGTCTGGGAAGATGAAGAGCACCAGGAAAGGAGAATGACAAGAAGCATCTGGATTAGAGAAAAATCAGGCATTTGTCCCAGAAACTGGAAAGTGTTGCAGGGCAGAGAGATCAACAATGTAAAATGCTGCAGATAGTAAATAAAGATAAGAATGGAGACACAATCATTGGATTAAGTGGAGGTCATCTGTGACCTTGAGGAAGAGTTTCACTGCCGTGGTGGAAGCAAAACCCCGAAAGAAGTATGTTCAGGAGAGAGTTGGAGGAAGGGAACTGGAGACCCTGAGTATAGACAACATTTTCAAGGAGTTTTGCCATAAGATAAGGGGATGAAATGAGGTAGCAATCACAGGAGAAGTTAAATCAAAACAGAGTTTTTCCTCCTTATCATACTAAGTGAAGAAAGTCAGACAGAGAAAGGCAAATATCATATGATATCATTTATATGTGGAATCTTTAAAAATGACACAAATGAACTTATTTACAAAACAAAAACAGACTCACAGACATAGAAAACAAACGTATGGTTACCAAAGGGGAAAAGAGGGGAGGAAAAAATTAGGAGTTTGGGATTAGCAGATACAAACTACTGTATATAAAATAGTTAAACAACAAGGTCCTATTGTATAACACAGGGAACTATATTCAAGCTTGTAATAATCTATAATGACCAGAAACTAGCACAACACACAACATTGTAAATCAACTACACTATGATTTTTTTTAAAGAAGAGTTTTTCCTCCAACTTTTTAAAACATATTCAAACTTACAGAAAGTTTGAAAGACTATCACAATATCCATATATTCTTCACCTAGTCGCAGCAGCAATTGTTGACAGTTTGCCACATTTGCGTTCTCTCTAAACAGAGGGTTTCTTTAAACCCTTTTCCAAACTGTGAGATACAGTGCATATGCAGAAAAGTCCACAAAACAAAACGTATAACTCAATGAATGATCACAATGCCAATACTCATGTAATCACCACCAATATCAAGAAATAGAACACTGCTAGCTTCCACACAGCCCCCTTTTGTGTCCACCCTCCCATCAAAGTAACCACCATCCTGAATTTTCATAGTAATAACTTCTTGCTTTTCTTTATGGTTTTACTGCATAATAGTGATTCCTAAACACATATCATAGTTTCATTTTTTTGTTTGTTTTTGAGCTTTAAGAATGGAATAATACATACAGAAATATTCTTTTATATCTAACTTCTTTGGCTCATAGGTTGTGGGTTTATTTCTTCATTGTGTAGTATTCTGTTATAAAAATATGCCACCATTTATTATTCATTGTACCGTTTATGGTCATATTGATTGTTCCCAGTTTTTTGCTCTTATAATTAATGCTGAATGCTGCTGTGAATGTGCTAATATAAGTCCCTTGATGCACATGTAAATGCATTTCTATTGGGTATATTCCTAGGAGTAGAATTGCTGGGTCACAGGTGTGTATATGTGCAAATTCCAAAGCTAATACCAAAGAGTTTCGCCTCTGGTTATACCAGTTTGCATTCTCATCAGCCACGTATGAGAGACGTCTTTCCACGTCCTTTTCCTTCTTTTTCTTTTTCTCTAAATAAAAGTTTTATTGGAGTTTTTTTCTTCTTCTTCTTTTTTTCTTTTTCTTTTTTAAAACTTGCCATCTTAGTGGGTATGCTGTGGCATATGATTGTGTAATTAACATTTTCCTGATTACAGATGTTCTTTGGCCATTTGGATATCCTCTTTTGTGAAGTGCCTTTGAAGATTTTTGCCTATCTATAAGTTTCAATTGTTTGACTTTCATTGATTTGTAGGTGCTTTTCCTATATATAGATGTAAATCCATGTAGATTATACATGCTGCATATCTCCTCTCAATCTGTGCTTTGCTTTTTATTCTTCCTAGTGCTGTCCCTGGATGAATAGAAGTTCTTCATTTTAATGTAGTAAACTGATCAGTCTTTCCTCTATTGTGCATTTTTTGGTTCTGTTTAGGAACTTTTCATCTATCTCAAGGTAGAAACTCCCTATGAAATCTCCTAGAAATTGTGTTGTTCTGCTTTCCATATTTAAGACTGTAATCTACCTAGTGTTAAATTTTGTATATTGTCTTTCCTTTTTTCAGTATATGGATATCTAACGACCCGGCACCATTTTTATTGAAAGACCGTCCTTTCCCCACTGTTTGGAAGTGCCACCTTTATCGTAAATCAAATGTGTGTGTGGCGGTTCTTTCCTGAGCTTTGTATTCTATTCCATTGGTCTATTTTCTTTCCTTGCACCATTACCACACTGACTTAATTACTATAGTTTTATAATAAATCTTGATATCTGATGGAGCAGTTACTCCTACCTTGTTCTTTTGGCTTGGCTACTATTGGACTTTTCCATGGCTCCTTAAATTTTAGAATCAGCTTATGGAGTTTCACAAACAAAAGTCTCCTTTGGACTGGCATTGGAATTGCATTGAGTCTATGGATAATAGAATTGACATCTATAAAATAATTGAGTCTTCCAACACATACGCATAGTATAGCTTTCCTTTTTTTTATATACTTCTTTTATGTTTCTCAATAAAGTTTATATTTTTCTGTGTAAAGATCTTACACATTTTGGGGTCTGAATTTATTTCTAAGTTTTTGAAAATGTAAATATTTTAATTCCTAATTGTTTGTTGTTTGTACATAGAAATACAGTTAATTTATATATTGGCCCTTTACCCAGCAACCTTCTTAATCTCTCTTTTTAATTCTAGTAATTTATCTGAGGCTCTTTTGGATTTTCTATGTATATAACCTTGTGTGAATAACGACAGCTTATTTATTCCTCTTCTTCATTCTGAAATTATAAAATAGCTCCTTATTTCTGTTAGTAATTTTAAAATAATTAAATCTTTGGTTTATCTGAAATTTATTTTTGGCATATGGTTTGAGGTATGGCTCCAAGCTAATTTTTTTTCCCAGATGCATATCTGGATTTTTTTTAGCAGTTATTGAATAAGCCATTTTTCCCCCAATAATAACAGTTTCATGTCTAAATTCTCGTACAGAACAAGGCTGATCTCTTCCTATGCTGCTCACTCCTCAGGTGTTTGTAAAGCTAATCATAGCCTTTAGGGGTTTCTCATTTCCTTTTTCTTCTTTCTTTTTCTTTTCTTTTAGGGGAAAGTGCAGACGCAGTCCCCAACTACCACAAATTATGGGTTTCCCATATTTGGGGAAATCGCAGGAGTCAGCACATCAGGAGTGCAATGGATAAGCCTCACCCTGGGAAAACCACCTTCATGATCATGGTATCTCCCCTGCCAGGTAAGGTTTGTTTTTTTTTTAAACCTGATCTAATTCCAAGTTTCCTCTTTATCCTGGCCCAATTCTGAGAAACTTGAAACTTGTAGATTTGTGTTATTTTTCTGAAGAGTTATGTCACTTCTTTACTCCATAACTCAATACCTGGGGAATTAATGTTCATTATTTACTGTTAGCTATTCTTGTTCACATTTTTTGTTTTGTCTTAGTGTTTACTTTTTTTGTTTTAAACTGTCTTCATTAAGGACTTGGTATATAAAGTGTATAATTAGCTTTGGGAACAAAAAACTAAGGAGCCATGTAATCAATTACCTTGCTAGGCTCAGTACACACTAGCTGGTTACAATAATGAAAGCATTTACCCAATGAAAAGACTGAGAATAAAGTAATAACACTATAGAAGGAAGCTAGTAGTTGATTAGTATTAAATGAAATTTAAATATATGATTTCTTCAACGTAAGCAATGATACAGAATCTGCTTTGGCAGATACTATGTAATATTCAGTCCAAATATCAGGAATTGTTTCTCCAATAGCCCATTACCCTTTCAAAGTAGTTATGTTAATTATGTGTTCACAATCCCCCATCCAATTTAACAGTCAATATATTTAATGAAGATGTTATCTCCTTGGCGAGACATTTTTGTGTAACGTTTGAATATGACTATATTTACAGAGTCAAAATTCTTAATACAATTTGACATGTTTTCCCAAATGAGTTTCAGAGAAGTGACAGCAGGTGAAGGGAAGAGGTTAGGTTTTTTCTGTAAAAAGGGTGAACTTGGTCAATTCAGAATGGAGGCAGCTGTGAGTTATAATGGGTTCCTCTGAGAATTGTTGTATTTAAACCAAACTGATGATATAGTAGCTCAGGGAATAATTCCTGACGCTTTGTAGGTGTTGAGGGTTTGCTTCGCTGCATGATGTAAGATAACTTTTTCTCCCTAAATCTTTTCTTTAAGCCTGGTTAACTTGGAATAGTGTAAGGAGCATTGGTTTTGCAGTCAGATATGTCAGAATTTGAATTCTGTATAAATTGAGACAATTCAATGGTTTTTTTTTTTCTGTATGTATGTATGTATGTATGTATTTATTTATTTACTGAAGTATAGTCAGTTAATTCAATAGTTTTTACTTTGCACATGTTACTTAACTTTTCTAATTTGGCTTTTAAATATTTACCTGGATTATAATATTTCCCTAATAGGGTTATTGTGAAATTGAATCAATGCAATGTATGTATTATTTTCATTGTTTGATGTGTGTATATATATATATATATATAACCATATATATACAACCAACTAATAAAAGCTCTTACTTAGTAGTTGTTTAGTAATGTTAGAAGCCAAGTTCCCCACTATGGGTTTCCTTTCTTTTTAATCCATTCATTTGCTTAAATTGCTTCTCTCTTTCTTTCATATCTGACATTTATTGAACCATCAAGTTTTTCTGATCTGTTTCAGAAATGTTTTTCAAATTGGTTTCACCATCTCCATTCTTTTTGGCAATGCCTTAGTTCAGGATACTATTGTCTCTTGCCTTGATTATTGCAACAACTTTTTAACTAATTTATATTCCTCCCTCCAGTTCCCTTGGCATCTCCAATACATCATCCACACTGTCCAGAGATTGTCAAAACAGTTTGACTATGAGTCACCTTCTTTTACCTAAGTACTTTTCATGACCAATCTTTATTGCACAGATCTTGTCACCTTCATCTTTCATCTCCAAAGTCAAACAGGGTGTTCTATGTTATACACCCTCGTCTATTAGCTTCCTTAATTGTTATTGGATTAGGTTATGGCAAAGTTTCTGAACAAAAAGATCTCTAAGTGGCTTTTGAACAGATAATAGAAATGTTCAACTTCACTTAAAGTAAGAGATCTGAAAATTGAAACTAAGTAAGACATTATTTTTCATCAGTTTGGCAAGGATCAAAAAGTTTGACAAGGATCAAAAAGTTTGACAATACGTTATTTTGACTAGGGTGTGGGGAACCACTGTCATACATTGTTGATGGGAGTGTAAATTGGTACAATCTTTTTGAAGAGTGATTGAACAATATCTATCAAAAATGACTATTACTTTGACACAGCATCAGATTTATCCTACAGAAACATACATACAAAGATATATGTGAAGAATATTGCAGCATTGGAACAGCAAAAGATGGAGAATAACCAAAATGTCTATCAACAGGGTGATGGTTATGTGAACTGCAGTATATTAACAAAATGTAATTCTATAGAGCCATTAAAAAGAATGATGCAATCTCTGTGCACTGATATAAAAAGAGCTTCAAAATAAATTAAAAACCAAACTGCAGAGCAGTCTATATAGGATGCTAGGATTTGTATAAAATTTTAAAAGGCATATATGCATGTATATTAAGCATTAAAACATCTGTGGAGTAATAGACAAAGGATTAAAAAGAGTGGTAGCCTTCCAGGAGGTGAACTAGGAACAAGGCAGAGAGACTTACGTTTTATACTCTTCAGTACTCTGAATTTTTTTTCACCAGGCACAGCACATGTATTATTTTTAAAAATACCAGAGCAATGGTTAAGCAAATTATGGCAGATCATCTTGATGATACATGAGTCTAGTACTGTGCTGGATCTCAAAATAGTCCTAAGAGATGGCATTGTTCATCTCTAACAGAGAACTAAACATGATGGATGAGATGGAGTATCTGGACAAGGTCCCTGTGTCATTAAGAAGCAGAAGGGACATGAGCCTGGCCCCACCTGGCACCAGCTTCCTGCAGCCTGCCTTAGAAGTACTTCAGTGGTGAAGAATAACCCCATTTTGTTCTGAGTATGACTCTATATGTCTGTGCTGTTTTCCCACTAGACTGAAAGCTTCTTGAAAGCAGGAGCCATTCATCACTTTATCATCAGCTATTATCACATGGTTAAGTGTTCAATAAACATTTATTGCCATCAATAGATGCTTTTCTTTTAGCATCCAGATATTTATGAGATGGAAATGCTAGAATTTGCCAGCTTTTCTAAAAGATAGACTACTTTGATTTCTGTCTTCATCATACCAAGCAATTTAAAGAGGAAAAAAAGGGATCGTAATGGGAAACACTGCAGCCGCAGAATTCAAGAGCAAGCTGATTTCTTTGATGTTTGGTTTTCCAGTGCATAAGAGAATAGTTCAAAACATTCTAAAAACACGTGCCTCTTCACATAGCTGACAGGGGCAAGTGTGAGACTGACCCTGCCGATTATCCTGTGAAACATTTCACTCCATGCCTCTTGTTTCTGGCTCCACTTGGACTGCTTAGAGCAGAAGCGGTTGGCTCCAAGCCTATTAGTGCCTGGAGGATTTCTGGCCCCACTAACTCTAGTGACGTGCCTCTGAGATGTGCAAACACTACACTCAGTGCAAAGTGTACAGCCTCTGGAAAGCTGTGGTATTTATTTAGACTCTTCCAGAGCAATCAGCAACCCCTAAAAGGCGTTTCTTCAAAGCCAAATTCAAAGTTACTGGAAAGTTTCCAAAATAGTGCTTAAAGCAATGCTAGTTGACTAAATCTATGAAAAAAAGATTTCTTAAAGAAATCTTTTATTGGTCTCCCCTAATTTCCCAGCTTCTCTGAAAGTGTGAGTCCACCGATGGCGAACAAGGGTAGGGGATGGGGTGCGGTTTGGGTCTATCAATTGGGACTTAGAACTTGGGCTTATCAACTTAGAATCTCAGAGAATTCCTTTACTAGAAGCATCACCCGGGCAAAGCAGAAAAATAGTGAAAATAGCACAGACTGAAAGCAGGCTGACCAGAGTTTGCAATGAGGTTCTGTCAACAACCGGTCATGTGACCTTGGGCAAATTACTTAACTCCTTTGAGGCTGTGTCCTCATTTTGCAATGTTGTGGTAAGAATTTGATAGATCGTCGTCAGCACACTTCCAGGCATGCAGTAGGTGCTCAATAAGTCTTGAGCAAATTTGAGTTGAATAACATACTTAAGATGACTGGCATATAGAGGAGCTTAATAAATATTAATCCCCTCCCTGCTCTTCACCCTTCTCACTTTCTATTCAGGCTATCTGTTGCCCTTTGGTGAATTTTTCTCCTTCAAGGTTGCTCCCAAAGGTCATCAAAGATTATTTTTAACTGGAGAAAAGAAGTTAATTAAGGTGAAAAGGGAGCATGCAGTGGAAATGTATTCACTTTAGCTTCCAAGCCCCAGAGGGATGACCTTTGTTTTCTATTTCTTTTATCAAGAATATATCTGTTCATTACTGGAGAGGAGGGAGGAGAAGGGCTGGCTCTGTGCAGGAGCTCTGCTCTCTCCTCGTTCGTCTGTGGGGTGCCAGGTGCTGGGACACAGAAGTAAATCAGACCAAGCCATCCCCACCCCACAGAGGTCTCACATTTGATGGGGAGGCCGGTCAGAAGGCAATTAAGTCCATTTGAGGGTTGTGGGACCTGGAAGCCTTCATGCCTTATAAAGCATTAATGTTATTTCCACTAGCATCTTACAGCCCTAAGGTAGTTTTCTGAGGGGGAAAAAAAACATACATCTGTCCAATGCTGTGGAGCAGAGAAAATTTTAAATTTTAGTTTGTAAAACTGTTTATAGAGTTGCAGAATGGATTAGAAACAACCAACAGAGAGCAGTCGTTGCCAAACCACGCATTAGAATCGTCTTACACTTTTATTATGAAGGCACCGTGGGTCTCTAGTTGCGCACATAGCTTTAACCTCAGACCAACCTAGATTAGAGTCCAGACTCTGTCACTTATTTGCCTTGTGAGCTTGAGCAACTTACTTAACCAGTCTGAGCCTCAATGTGCTGATCTGTGAAATGTGGCTAATAAGAGTATCCACCTCATGATTTTTGTAAGGATTGAATTCAGTAATTACTATGCTTATGATGGTACCTGGCATAAGGCTCGCTCTGAACAAATTGCCCGTTATTATCATCTGACTTACTATAACCCCACAAGGCAGCTACCATCATTGCCTCTATTTTACAGACAAGGAAACAGTCTTAGA